GGCAACCGTTGCCATCACACAGCCACGCAGGCCATTGGTAAAGAAAGACCCATTGGCACTTTGCCAAGAGTCAGCACGGGCGCCCAGGTTCCAAGGGAATGGATCACATCATATGCCAGGGAACTCAGAAATATAAAAGGATATCAAGTTCAGGGGCTATGATATTTTTAAACATAAATGCAAAATTTGGCCAGAACATTCGATGTCCCTGACATATATGCAACAACCCCGGGTAAAGTTGCAGGATCTTTAAATTTGGATGACATACCACACCACAGGGTCCCGTATTTGAAATCAAATTCAGATGGTCATTGGTTATTAGTTTTTATTCCACTAAGTCCCCAAAAATAAAGCTACGATATTTATTGATATCAAGTTTTTGGTACTGACGGCACCCTGCAATGTGCAATGACAGGCTAAGATGTTTTTCGGGAACATTCCACGTCATCTCATAAACACCCAGCACACAGCTAAACATATAAGTGAGATAACTTTTTCCCCAGAACATTTATGATCATTTCAGGGTTTTATATGTTCCACCTTAGTCTTCCACACTTTCTGCTTCATCACTGGATGGATCAGCCTTCTTGGCTGCCCTTCCTTTGCCCTTTTTTGGGCCCTTGGCAGCTGACAGACGACGCTTAGCGTCACTGATGTCACCCATAATAACCGCAATTTCATTCTTTTCACATTCCAGCTTGGCTTGGAAATCCATAGGGTCAACTTCAGAGGCTGGAGCCCCCAAGTAAGTTTCCACCCGCTGCCACCCGGTAGCAGCAGGCACTTCAACGCAATCACCTGCAGAATGTCCCAATGATAGGTTATCCCCATGAACATGCCTAAAACCAAACTGTACCAGTGGATAATGTTACAGTGTTACAATGCAATATGCATAACCTCGATCCACGACCTATTGTATGTTACTATTGTATGGATAGCATTCATGTTTACTATATATAATAATGATTAATATCCCTGTATCAGCCAAGGCACCAGCTCTGAGCAGTTTCGCACGTTGTAGTCCTTTAGGTCCTTGATCATCTTGGGGAGCTCATTCACCACCTGATTCCACCTAGGCTCACGAGAACATAAGTACCACATCCATAGACCCAGAACCCAGTGAAGTCGTACCTAATCAAGACTCAAAGGTTCAAGAATCATACGATCGTTAATTGATCAAAGAAACTTTTTGGATATCTTTTTTATCTCGGCGATTGCTTCATCAACTGGGGACTTCTCCTTCTTTGGTTTTTTACACCTTATCTGTCCAGTAGTAAGGTTCATGAATTCGGGAGTGGAAGAGTTCAGGCCCTGCAGCTGCTTTGCCAGCAGCTGTTTTGCTCCTCCATCACGAACTCGACCCGAAAGGGAAGCCTTGGATATGAATTGGGAGTGTTTATAATGTACTTTAGAGAGGTCATAAAAGCATATGTTATTTCAAAAATACGGTGAACCAAACCCATTCCTTTCAAACTTGATATGTATATGATATGCATGGGCCAAGGCATAAGCAAATAAAACTAAGTAGCAGAGGTCTCAGCTGAAGTTCCACTCTGGTTTTCCTCTACCACTTCTCGTAAGACCTTGTACATCCTCGCCTTTTTCACGTTGGGTGCCTGGCAATTCCAAGGCCAGACATCAAACAGGAAGAGACACCGGAGAGACAAGAACGACAAGGCCAGGCCTGGGGGTGAGGTACACCAGCCTGACCTTAATTTTAAGAATCTTCATGGACCAAAGAAAGTGGATTACCAGAACTATGCAATGTGTGTTACCAACCCTATAGTATAGCCAAGCTACCCTGGCACAACTCTTGGATGAAGGCCTTTGCCTCCTGCCCCTTACCATAGATTTTTTCAAGTTGAAAAATCGTCACCTTAGATGACACCAAGGGATAAGGTAAATCAAATCATCGGAAGAATGGATTAGCTCAACAATTTTGTTGAAGAGTCAAGCTACATTGGTTTGTTTTTATTTTAAATAATGGGGCCCTGACAGTCGTGTAGCGGTCAGTGCGCAGAGTGCGCACAAACGTCACATACTTTTCTTCTATGTCGATCTCGCCCACGTCTTGGTTTTGCACCCAAGATTTCAACATTTGAAACCTAAGTTGCCGGTGCACACATATGGGGTAAAATCATTTCAAACTGATACCATATGAAACTGCTGGAATTAAGATATGTCAAATATTGTTAAGTAACCTCTCCTTGTCATTGGCTAGGCTAAATTTAGCCACTAGCTCGGGCTTGGCATCTTTGTAGATTGCTCTTCGCATTGCCGCGCATTGGCGTTTTCTTTCCTAGGCTGGATTGATTGTGGATTAAACTCGATTCATGTTTGATCTGATGTGGTTCAACAAATTCCAATTCCATTGGCTTAACATCCATAATCATAGTCTTTTAGCTATGGATCGTCATAGGGCATTTCTGATGGCTTTGCATGGCCTGAATTTTGGCCTTCTCCTCCTCCGTGAGAACTTTTTTGCGTTCCTTCTTCTCAGTCGTCGGTGGTGACGATGACGAGTGTGGGCTAGCCTGACTGAGATAGCTTTGGATCAATGTAGTTTCCGATAATTACGATTTTGTTATTCAATGATTGATGTCAAACAAGTAGCATCATCCTCAAAAAGTTTGCGAGCAACAGACCCAGTCAAGGGTGATTCCAGCAGCAGTCCATCAATGCTGGCCAAAGTCGACTGTCGTTCCAGCAGCATGTCCTGGATTGATATAGAAAGAAAATACCACTTGCACGAAATGCTCAAAAAGGAAGTTCCCATCTTCCCATCATTAGGGTTGTGATTGTGGTATGTTTGTTTTATCATCCTGATGCCATAAATAAATCTGGTTGTTAGATCCCAATGGGAAACTACCCCCACCCACGGAAGAGTTAGTCCTGACTTTGGGACTTTTGGAGGTCCTTCACATCATCCTTCTGCTTGTGCTTCTTGACTTCCGATCTCTCAGTGTGGCATGGCGATGGTGACCTTTTCTTCGTGTCATTCTGTTGTTCAGTGTGCACTTTCTTTTGACATCTCTCATTGTCTGCACCTTCATGGGCACTCTTTCGCTTCTTCGAATCATCTTTGGGCTTCTGAACCTTCAGTGGTCTGGCTTGGTCAAGCAGGCACAAAGTTGAGCAAGTGGCACTCGTTGGTTTCTCTGTGGAATGCTGGTCTGAGACATTGCCAGCATCTGGTGTTGGCTCATCATCCTTGCTCTTCTTCTCTTTTTTCTCCTTCTTGTCCTTCTTTTCCTTTGGCTGCTTGCCTTTCTCGGTGGCATTCTCTGGCGTGGATCCATGTGCAGATCCGATGCTATTGTCTTCTGTCGTCTTGTCTTTCTTGCTGTGCTCGGACTTGGTGGCTTCTGCAATGGCAGGTGCAGAGCTCTTCGAGACCTTGTCACCACCTGGTGTTGACTCGCCCTCCTGTGGTGTTGCCTTCTTCTCTTTTTTCTCCTTCTTGTCCTTCTTTTCCTTTGGCTGCTTGCTTTTCTCGGTGGCATTCTCTGGCGTGGATCCATGTGCAGATCCGGTGCTATTGCCCTCTGTCGTCGTGTCTTTCTTGCTGTGCTCGGACTTGGTGGCTTCTGCAATGGCAGGCGCAGAGCTCTTCGAGATCTTGTCAGCACCTGGTGTTGACTCATCCTCCTGTGGTGTTGCCTTCTTCTCTTTTTTCTCCTTCTTGTCCTTCTTTTCCTTTGGCTGCTTGCCTTTCTCGGTGGCATTCTCTGGCGTGGATCCATGTGCAGATCCGGTGCTATTGTCTTCTGTCGTCGTGTCTTTCTTGCTGTGCTCGGACTTGGTGGCTTCTGCATTGGCAGGGGCAGAGCTCTTTGAGACCTTGTCACCGCCTGGTGTTGACTCGCCCTCCTGTGGTGTTGCCTTCTTCTCTTTCTTCTCCTTCTTGTCCTTCTTTTCCTTTGGCTGCTTACCTTTCTCGGTGGCATTCTCTGGCGTGGATCCATGCGCAGATCCGGTGCTATTGTCTTCTGTCGTCTTGTCTTTCTTGCTGTGCTCGGACTTGGTGGCTTCTGCATTGGCAGGCGCAGAGCTCTTCGAGACCTTGTCAGCATCTGCTGTTGACTCATCCTCCTGTGGTGTTGCCTTCTTCTCTTTCTTCTCCTTCTTGTCCTTTTCCTTTGGCTGTTTGCCTTTCTCGGTGGCATTCTCTGGCGTGGATCCATGCGCAGATCCGGTGCTATTGTCTTCTGTTGTCTTGTCTTTCTTGCTGTGCTCGGACTTGGTGGCTTCTGCATTGGCAGGGGCAGAGCTCTTTGAGATCTTGTCACCACCTGGTGTTGACTCATCCTCCTGTGGTGTTGCCTTCTTCTCTTTCTTCTCCTTCTTGTCCTTCTTTTCCTTTGGCTGCTTGCCTTTCTCGGTGGCATTCTCTGGCGTGGATCCATGTGCAGATCCGGTGCTATTGTCCTCTGTCGTCGTGTCTTTCTTGCTGTGCTCGGACTTGGTGGCTTCTGCATTGGCAGGGGCAGAGCTCTTTGAGACCTTGTCAGCATCTGGTGTCGACCCACTCTGTGGTGTTGCCTTCTTCTCTTTTTTCTCCTTCTTCTCCTTCTTGTCCTTCTTGGTGGGTTTGCCTGTCTCAGTGGTGTTCCCTGCAGATCCGGCTCTCTTGGCTTCCTTGTCTAGCCGGGCAATTTTTTCTTTTGCCTCTCGCACAGCTTGTAACGAAGACTTGTTTTCGTCATCTGTTTCTGCACCTACATTGGCTGTTCCATTGTGTTCTCCCTTTTGCTCATCAGTCTTTTTTCTTTTACTTGTGGTCTTCACCTCCTTTGTCGCATTCCTCATCTCTTGGAGTAGCTTTTCTCGTTTCTCTGCACGTTTTTCATCCTCCTTCACAGCCTTTTCTAAGGCCATTCTTTGTTTCTCAAATTCAACTAACTTGGGGCACGGAATAGTGGTGGCCTTCTTAGCTCGAATCCGTGCAGCCTCTTTGGGGGTCATAAAAACCTACGTAAGGTTCCTAGTCCCACACAGCTGGGAGCCACAAAGTTCTCCGGAAACATACCCAGAATTACCCAAACAAAGTCCAGTGAAAAAATCGCATTTTGAAGATTATGGCATCAGAAGGCCAAAAACGACACGCAAATGACACGCACTCAGACACTAGGAGTTCCCGTGGCATGCTCCTAACGGCCTACAAATGGTGATACTTTTACAAAACGGCCTACAATTGGTAAGCCACTCCCAACCCCAATGACACGCAAATGACACGCAATGACACGCGCCTTTGGTCTGTTTTTCCTGAAACATTTCATATTCCCGAAGGTTCGCACTGAAGCTCTGTGGCTTGTGTGCGTGGCCCCAGAGATGCCGATGGTTGGACCCAGGGAAACTGATTGAGAGTAGTCATCACAAAAGGACTATCATAACATTTTTGTAAGTTATATCATAAGTAACCTCATATTTGTCGGGTATGTTGGGCTACAAGTAATTAAATATATTCATCACCCCCAGGATCCTAGACAGCTGGCATCAACCCCTATACTATACCCCTATTGTTGGCCCTCAGATTGGGCCCGTCCGGCTTCCTGATCAGCCTCTCGAGTGTCAGCAGCTAGGGTCTCCCATTCACAGTTGCAATCTTTGCAGATGCATCGAAGTTGCACCACATCGGTCCTCAGAAACGGGGCGCAATGGATCCATAAAGTGGCTATAAAGTTGTAAATGGAACATCCAAGATCACTTGAAGAATTGGCAGCCCGCATCCCATAACGAGGTTTCCTTTGTATATGGGGCTGTGTAAGTTGTAACTTGTTTGCACAATATTCCTGTGTGAAAAATATGGTAACCAAACTTAGTTCTACCCACCCACCTACCTAACCTAAATCAAAAGTATCCAAGATTCTCTTCTAGCCATTCCTCAACTTGAGTGAGCCAGCAGCTCAAACATAGACGCTCATGACGGGCAGTCCACAGCTCAGCTAAGTAAGGGTTGCTATAAGGACAAGACATGTTGGTATTGTACCAAGAGCACTATCTGAGGGCCAGTGCTACCAGCCATTGAGTCACTCATAATATCAGATTGTTTCAAAATCAACTGGGCTATGGCAGCTGTGACCATATCGGCTTAAATCCTTCATTTGTAATGTCAACCCCGGATTAATAAACCATGGTTTATTAATTAGGGGGTACTCCTCCAATAGTCAAAATATGATACTTAAATGGTACCCTCCCAATTAAACAATCTAGGGGTTTATTAATCCAGGGTTGACATTAAACATGACATAACACACATACAGTGAACGTCACAAGCGAACTGCCCAAGCGCCTAACCCCTTTTCACCCATAACTTCTGTAGTACAAGTGCGATCCTCACATAGGAAATGGGTGGCCCAAAGAAAAACAGGTATGATTATTGGTTGAGATTGATCTATGGTTTCAAATTCATCCATGACGGCCACACCCATCACCCCGTGAAGGTTGGTTTCCTCCACTCGGTTCTTTTGGATCCCTTCATGAAATCATCCAGGGAACCCAAATGGTCTGTACCTTGGTATGTTAAATCAAGACCTTTCTCAATTGGTCGCCTCCCTCGAGCAGGCACCAGGGCAGCTATTGCCATACCAAAACCACGAGGATAATTGGCCGATTTGGCCAACTCACTTTTGATCCCTGCCTCAGATGCTAAATGTTTTGGGTAAGACAAGTGTGTGAAACCATGAAGGCTCACGAATGGGTCCCATATCTAGTAGTCAACTTAACCCATATTATTCTGACAAACACTGCGCATGTGACATGTTAAGTTTTAAGCCAAGTTGCTACCCGGCGGCGACCCTTCTTGTCGATCGTCTTGCGCACCAAATTGGTTGCATTCCTGCGAGAGCGGCAGAATTGGTTCCGGGATGGGTGAACAGGAGGTGATGGCCAAGACATGAGATCCTGCAAAATCATGTGACCATGGGTGCTCGTTGGCTCACATGCAATTCATTTTCCAAGATGATATGCATGTGGAGAATCTTGTGACACAAGCTCAACGATATGGCTCACAGTTGGCATGCCCCTTGTCAAGACTGGCGAAAACAAGGATTTCGTCAAATGGACGTTGTATGACGTGGTCGCAGCTTTGGTTTGACAACCACCAGTTGGAGTGGCAAATGACTTCGCTGACAAGTTCAACAAGCTTGGGTTGGATTCGATCTGCATGATAAAACATGATAAAACTACATTGGATAATAATAAGACAAAGATAAGTACAATCCGACCCATAATATCCCAACATATAATTATATATCCAACCTGTCTCCCAATCTCAACAGCTCTGTCCTCGCAAGGGCTTCTCGCAGCTGCTTCACGTCCAGTGGGCGACGCAGGCTGGAAATCCCGGGCAGTGTAGACCAAATCCTTGGGACACAAGATCTGTCAATGGGAATCAGATACCGACACACCATGGGTGAGAAAACGGAAATACTTTCACTATAGCATCAAAGAATCGTTGTGTATTTCATCGTTGCAGCTCCATAAGATCCCATTGGAAATGTAACTTTCCTGCGAAGGCAGATGCAGATATATAAGCATCGTAAAGTTCAACTATAATGTTCAGTTTGCAATATTCAACCACATCTCAGTTTGTAACAGTCCTCGCCCCTATGAAGGTGAGAAGCCGCTTGACAGGTGCCCAGTCAAAAAGAACCTGAAAGGACATTTTGAAAATTAGAGTTTCCAGCAGTGTTGTTTCATCTCTAAAATCAATCAACTCTTTTGCAAATCCAACTTGTTTGCTGTCAGGTGGCCGAGGAGATTGGTTGTTCAATGGCCACATAAACACCACGCTGCCAAGCATACCACAGTCTTAGTTGATGCAGATAACGGAAGGCTGGGAATAAACTAACTCAAGTATACCCAAGTAAAGTTACAATATAATACTCCCATAATTTATATATATAATCAATATGAGTATTGTAGGCAGCCTACATCGATGGTAGGAAATCATTTTATTTGTTCAACTTGTCTAGCCAAGCAGCATGTAAAGCATTCTCATTACGAAGATATTGGCCAGTAGCACGCAACGGGTTCTGAAGCCTTCGGGAGAGATCCAGGTTCGTCCTGTTGATGGAGAAGACCTGAGATATTGATATGTTTTCGGAGTGATCACATGTCCTAAGTAATAAGAACACAAGTGACCTAGCCAATACCTTAATTAACTTTGCAATTTGAGACTAAGTCATCAACAGGGTGAGGAACATTTACATCGACCGTGGTGATACAAAGAAACAAGGGACAAGATAAGCATAGCTAAGACCAATCTAACACCACAACTTTCCATTCTGAAACTAATGCATAAAAGGCTCAGGAACACCCATGTCGAACATGGTGGAGCGAAGAAAAGTAGACCACCCCGACGTGTGTTGCGGACCTGGGATGTTGTTTTAAGCTATCAGTCCCATAATGTTCACGATCACAATTAGGATGTTGATAAGCAACAGTGACCATTAAAGCCAGGTGACTGCAGCAAGTACTGCAAGGAACCCCACCGTCCGAAGGAAGTTGTGGTTCTTCGAATACAAAACCTAAGATGTCATAAAGTTCATGGGAATGAATGCTTCAAAGAATGATAAATCAATTATTACATTGTCATCACACAAGCTTCCTCCCCATCCCACTTGCTTTCAGGCAGCATCGAAGGCCTTTCCCTGGAATTGGCAGCTCCACAAGGCACGAGACAGTTGGCCTTCCCCACTGCACACTTCTACCTGAGGCATCGTAAACCCATGGGGCCAAAAACGAACAACATAACTTGAAACTATGTTGACATCATGCCCTTGCAACGTATCAGTTTTTTCAAATAAAAAAGGACCATATCATGTGATGTCCCAAGGCAACTTGAGGAAATAGACTGTCAACATGCATCGGCTACATGGCACATGTTCAACCCAGGGGCAAAGTCATTGGCTTGACTTTCTGGTGGTATCTCAACTTGCGCTAACAAGGCCAGAATCGGCAATAACAGCCGCGGATCCATCACCTACTTTCCAGGCCTATCTACCGTGAAAGAGTTTCGGAAAAAGGGAACATATCTGAATTTGTCAATTTGAGCCGTTTTGCGGATAGATAGTCACAGATTTGATACCTAAATTTCTGTTGCCAATCATAAATCAAGTCAGTGAAAAGTGGTAGCTGGTAGCTTCACACTGCAGCAACGAATCCATATGAATCCATAAATCCCCCAAAATGCCCAACACTCATCATTGATCATCATGGGTTCTGCCAACACAACATTCCGTTCAGAATGCATCACCATAGTCACTTGCTGAAGCAGGTCTCTGCGTGAAGTCAGAGCAGTATTTTGGCGTGGCCAGGCACGCACCCCGAGGGAGTTTGGCAAAGGGAACACGTAAAGTTCCAGGCTTTTGATCCAACACCATAGGAGTCTGGAAAACAAATAATTTTCAAATGAAGTTATGGAAAGCACCAATGAAATTATAAATTTTATAAGGTTTGATGTTGACTTCAAACAATTTTTCCTGGATCATTCAAGCCCCATTATCGGAAGTCAGCCTGGAGCCCCCAACTGTCCTCACACCAATCAAAAGGAATGATTTGGTATAATTACTAACTATATTTTTTCATGTCAAAATGCATCATGATTGTACATAAACAAGACTCTGCAAACATCGAGGACCAGCTGGCTTTAAAGGTAGCGCATCATGTGGATGCAAAATTAGACTGCCTTTTTGTTGGCCTTCGACCGAGGCTTTGCCTTCGATTTGATTTTGGGAAACTCCTTAGTCTTTTTCATGGGTGTCTTTTTCGGCGCTGCCTGCCTACCCAGCTTCAGATTCTTCTGAATGTTCGCAAGCTTCTGGAACGATTGTTCGGTAAACCCTTCAGCAGAAGCAGCGCCCCTCAGATGCCACCATATCAGGAAAAAAATATGAACGACAAAAACAATGCTGATAGGTAATCATTACCGTGTTCCAGGTATTTCCAGGTGTATGGATACATGTTGGGAACTTCATATCTAAACACTGTTAACAGAGACAGCAAGTCCAAGACACTTTGTCCACAGCTGGGTGCCACGTGGGCTGATCCACAGCTTATATAGTTGACCGGCTGCTTTACCTTCAAGCCGCTTTCTGATTTCAACGACCCAGCCGTCCTGCACATTGTCCACCCGTTGCAGGAGATCGAACTTCCTTAGCTACCCCAAATGAGTCCCAATGAGAAATTCAATCCTCATGAATTATAAAATTTTGTTTTTAGGATATACGGTCCCCAAGTTTCACAAACAACAAAATAACACCCGATTAATCAGCAAGGTTTCGCACTAGCTACTCTTGACTTCTTCTTCTCCCTTCGTTTGTTGATGAGTTCTAGCTGCTCTGCTGGGGTTGGCACCCTCCCCCCTGCCTTAGCTAGTGCTAATTGTTGGCAACGACTGATTGTAAGAGTGTACGAGTTCTTGCTGAAGTCAGCAAAGTCCTCAAACTTTTCCTTGTGCACCAGGCTCTTTCTCTTTGATTCTTCTGCCACCTTATGAGCAGCAAGCATGAACGATTTGGAAAAGAACTATGTAATTTATTGTAGTTTAATGTTTGGATTTAGAAGTAATAACCATATTGGGGGGGGGCTACAGCAACTTGGATGGAGATGAAACCTTATTTCATCGGCTTATTCAAAATAACCCCTCAGAGAACTATCCCACTGGTCAGGCCTCCTCCTTCACAGCCGGCTTGGCAGAGGCACCCGATTCAGCCGGTCGAGGGGAAAGGCCTGAGCTGTAGATCAAGAACATAGTTCATTCAGATTTTTTCCATGTTGATTTGAAAAACCTATTTGATTAGGGTTGTGACTATATGTAACCTATGCTACTAGAATATATTATATGTTTCATTGGATGGCAAATGACATGACAAATACTATAGTGAAGGCAAGACGCCTGAGGATTTGCTTCGGAGTCGACGTGTGGGCTTTTCACAGCGAGGTTTTTTGGGAGTCTTCCCCTGACCTTCATCAGTCTTGTCCTCAGTCTTTCTCTTCCCTTTGTCTTTGCGTTCCTTCTTCTGCAGGGAGCTGATCATTATGAAATCTCTGACTTTGTCTGGGTGAAATCTTGGTGCTTCCCCCATCTTTGTTGGCTCCAGATCCGGACTCAAAGCATCTTGAGTAGATAAATCTGGATACAGACCATGACAGAAGTCCCAGTATCGCATCTTGTGAGCAGCATCCATCTCAGCGAGATCCCGAGCCTCGTCAACTTCAAGCTTGAATTTTTCCTCCTCAATCTTTTGCTTTGCCTTTGTGTCTGCCTCATCTTCAGAAGTGCTTGACGTGGAAGATGAGGACGAAGTGGAGTCATCATCACTTTTGTCTTTCTCCTGTTCTTTGCCTTCTGTCTTCATCGTGTGGCTTTCCTCGTCTAAATCATTACTTTCATTCTCCTGATCCTCATCTTCACGAGTTTCCTTTTCTGCTATGTTTCCTTTCTGTGTCTTTGCATCTTCTGTTGTTTCTTCTGTCTTTGTATTGTTTTCATCCTCAGAAGAGTCACTCATGTCTGCATCCTCTGCCTCTGAGTCACCTTTGTCTTCTTTCGTCTGGTGTTCTGGATTCTCATCTGTTGCCTCATTCTTCTGGTCCATGTTCTCCTCATCGGTTTCACTGCTTGAAGTGTCTTTGTCATCATCACGTCCTTTCAGAACAGCCGGTTCTTCCCTCATCTCGGCTTCTTTCTGTGTCTCTGGCACCTCAGTCTGACCTTTCTTCTGTCCCATGGTCTCATCATCAGTCTCACTCTCGCTGCTGTCACTTGATCCTGCTTTGTCTGCCACCTCTTGACGTACTGGACCTTCTTTCAAGGCATTGAGAGACACATCGGAGCTGTCCATCTTTTCTTCATTGTTCTCTTCCTGGCTCTTATCCTTATCTATGTTTGCCTTCTCTTCTTCACTCGTGTCATCCTCGCTCTTCGACTCATCATGGTTTTCCCCCTTCTCATCTTCACTTGTATCATCATCATCATCAGTGTTCCTGATTTTCTCCTTTACATCTTCTGCCTTCTCCTCTTTGCTCGAATGCTGCTCCTCAAGTTTCACCTCAGCCTTTTCTGCCTCATCATCTTCACTTGTGTCCTCCTCACTCTTCACCTCAGTATTATCTTCCGCCTTTTCATCTTCATTTGCATCCTCCACGTTCTTCATCTCCTTCTGTTCTTCCGTTTTCTCATCTTCACCTGTGGAATCATCATCCTCACTTGTCTCATCATCTTTTGTCTCCTCACCTTCTTCTGTCTTCTCATCTCCTTGTGTCTTCTCGTCTTCTTTTGTCTTCTCATCTTCACTCGTGGATTCATCATCTTCCTCCTCACACTTCCCTTCCTCAATTTTTTCCTCATGTTTCTTTTCTTGATCATCCTTGCCACTCTTCACAGCATTCTGACCTTCCTCAACCTTGTCGTCCTCAGCATCTGTTCCTTTCTTCTCATCTTCACTGTCAGTAGAATCCTCGCTCGAACAGTTGTGGTAAGGCGGCGTCTTTTGCTGCCACTCATTGCAAGTCTTCTCAACTCCCTTGTCCTCATCATCATCCTCCTCTTCTGAGCTTTCAGCCTGCCCACCAGGCGCAGGTGATCTGAAAGTTATACCAAAAGTAGTAAAAGGAAAAATTATTGCCTAAGTGCCACTAGTGTACCCATGCCACTAAGATCCCAAAGTCATATAGTACTTTGGTGTTTATCTTTCCCATCCCGTCCAACCTCTTCCGCCTTTGTGTCGCTTTTGTCATCTTTGTCTTCTTCACTTTCCTCCTGTGATGAGCCCACAAGTAGGCCAGATATATCCAGGGATGAGATGTCAAACACTGGATACAATCGAGTATATCAGCAATGCAATCATTTTTTGAAAAAAAATAGAATTAGCAAGTGCCTCATCATCCGTAGAAGATTCCGATTCCGAGGTTTCGTGGTCAAGGGAGGTAGCAGGGCCCGTAGTGGAGGTAGTTGGAGCAGAGCCACAGGTTTTCCTTTACAATGTTTGACATCAACTCCGGGCCTAGAATACAGGACGAGTAACAAGTACCAACACTGGAATACCTTGGTTTGAATGAAAGCTGAATCAGTGCTAAAATTTTGCCAGGAATCATATCGTTGTCATCAAGCTTTGGGATCTCATCCTCATCTACGGGCTGTGTCTCTAACTGATCCATTGATGACCTAAGTGGCTAGCTGGCCAAACTCCCCAATAAGATAACATAGAAAATCATACCGATCTGTCACAAAATCGAAAGTGAAAAGAACAAACAGTTAAGTTTGTGCAAGAATCCCTTTGGATTGGCTATCAGTAGGGGATCGGTACGCGTAACCTCTACGCTTGGCTCTGGTGTGCTTCAGCAAGATATCGTGACATTTGAAAGCCTCAGATTCCATATCAACACAGTGGTGAAGATGCTGAATTAATTTGAATAACATATGCTGAAACGATCTGAGGCATATGTTCCTGGAACCATGTGGCCTGCTGACGCACCCAGTCTTGGCGAGCATCTCTTGATAGGATTTTTCCTTAGATGATTTTAACATTTATCCAGCCACATAGCACTATCAATCTAATGGGGGACATCAAAGACGTTAAAGAAACAACTAGAAAAAATCACATTTCACCACCATGGTTCCCATCTTCTGTTTGACCATCAACTTCTTAACTGCCATGCGTATTTGATTTTCCCTTGGCACCTTTTTCAACTTACTGGAAACAAAAGCGGATCTTAACCATGCATTTCCCCGAGCCCGCAGATCACCACCGCAAACCAGGTCGTCCTCAATAGATTTGCCCTTAGGCATTTTCGCCACCATGTGTTCGACCAAAGTCCTAAGATCTGACAGATGAGCTGGAAATAGATCCAACGAAAGTGACTTCAGAATGAAACAACAAACATCACTTAAGCCATGCATATATCATGCCAAGGTTCTTTGTTTGAGGTCCCATTTGGTGGTTCGGCATGGCTCCAAACACGGGCGAGTGCGAACACTTTGAAAACTCTTATACCTAGGTTGTTTGAAAGACATTCCTAACATATTTGGTATTCCGCTCTTAATATGCTTGAACATTGACGCATGTTGAATAATTTTTTTTATTCCCCAACTAGCCAGACCACACCCCCGATCCAGCCAGCGCAGGCTGCGGCGGCATGTGCAGCACCTGTCCGTGGCCCTCGGAACATTCAAGTGATCCTGGCATAACATCATCATATTCAAGGTTCATACAATCTATAAATGAAACGGCCCCCCATTGGCGACCTGGTCAAATGGCCTTCAATTGGTAGGCCCTTGGAGGGGGCTGGTATATATATATATATATAGACATGCATAGACTCTATGTAACAGTCACCAAATGCAGAATCTCAGAGGTCCCAATCTGGGAAAGCAGGACTTAACGAACAATCCTGGGCCCCGTTTGAAAACGTTACGCAGGTCTAAATCGTGACGTGGACCGAGAGAATGCTGCCAGGTTGTCACAACTTCCAGGCATCAGCTGGGATCAAGGGCTCGGAATGCCGGGATCACCATAGTCTGCACTGGCCAAATGGCCTAATGGCCTAATGGGGATGTAATTAGGAGATAAAAGTGATAAATAACATGGTATAACATAACCGGTATAACTGGTATAACTAACATTTATCAACATGGAATTGGACTCATGATACCACCATTTTTGCTGCGCTGCGACCGCCAGGTAGTGCACGGATCCTGCGGTCGCAGGACCGGATTCCCAAACGCGCCTCCGCCGCGCAGCGCGCCTCGCTGGACCGGAAGGCCCCCCGCGGCCGAAAACATCGCTGAAAAGTTGGGAAATGGTTCAAATGTATGGATGTCCATGGATGTCCATGGTTTTTGTTGTGGATTTGTGTGTTTTTATGGATGGTCAGGGATGTTTGTTGATTTTTACTGATTTTAATGGATGTTCGTGGTTCTTGATTGTTCAAAGATTTTTGTGGAATTAGTTAAGCGTCAAGCGTGTCTTTTTTTCCCATGTTCCAGAATCGTGGGGTTATCCGAAAACGGAATATCGACCGCAAAATCCCTTGGACTCAAACTTCACTTTCCCTAGGCAAATTGTCATTTGGGGAAAATCACCAAACGGCTAGGCTAGGATTGTGTATATTCGTTTATTTTGTATAGGAACAAACACGGATTCAAACCACAATGATGGAGGTATTAACCAGCAAAAAATGTGGATGGTTGATGCGGTAGACTCTGGTAGACCGGACCCAATGATATCCAATGTGCCAATGATAAACCAACCCCCTTGTGCCAAATCTACATAGTGGGTTTATCACATTAAGTCATTTGTATGATTTGGTTGTATTCCCCAAAATTACTAAGAAATCCCGCGATGATCCAAGTGAAGTGAGAACAGATAGTGCCTGCCGTTAGGAAACCAACCCATCTAGAATGGGAGAATTTCCTGTGACAGTTGAGGATTTTCCATGGATCAGGACGTTTTTTGCCCTGTGATTTCCGCTTCGTTTTCCAACTTCAGGTACCAGAAAGGCTGAGCTTGAAGGTGGGCGCACAGGCGCTGCGGTCCCAATGTCTTGGTCCAAAAAAGATCGGAAAGATTCGGACAGTAAAATCGTACCATAATGGTGATGATGAAATATATGGGGATTACGATCTTTATGGTACGATGAACCATATAATCGTCTACTAGTATAGTAATCCCCGAAAGATGATGAAATATGGTTTGATTTTTTTGGGGATTACTATACTAGTACACCGAAAAAATCCATGATTCATCAGCATTTTCCCATATTTGTCACCATTGAGCTTGCCGTGAAGAATTATAGATATTGGGAGTGAATCCTGCGTTCTCGGACAAATCCATACCATACCCACTTTCATTGGGGAAATCCCATGAAATCCCCATATGTGACGACTAATGAAACTGTTCTTGATGGTTAGTTCCATTTCGTTGACGATTAAGTCCCCATAAATGGCTGCTTAGACCACCTTTACCGCAGGTGATCCACCTGTGTAACGATCCTGCGATGGGCCTTGTGAATGGTCATCGTGGGCGAGTGGAGGCCGTTGATTTGAAGATATTTGAAGCGTGGTCAGGGTTCCTGATATGTCCTCCATACTGGGATTATCATCCCAACTAATCTTCTAGTGAGCGACTTGTGTTATCACCGACACATGGGATAGCCATGGATAGCCCAGTTCGGGGACAGCACTTTCCAACTGGGATCATCCTCAAAGTAACCAGGACCAAAAGGGGGCTCAAGCATCATAAGCATCACCTCCAAAAGGGGGTGTGAACTGGATTGTACAATCGCTACACAATGGCTGTCAATATAGCCACCCTTTGAAGTGGTGCTATGTGATGCTCAAAACGTAAGGCCCCGGATCCATACCCTGGACCCACAGGCGATCCATGGCCCCGATCCATTCCCATGATCCATACATCTCTACATGATCCATACCCTTGATCGATACCAAAAAATGACAGGTTGTACTTGTTCCAAGTCACTTTAGTATACCTCTCAGTAGGTCCGGATCAAACTTCTTACAGTATATGCAACTCACTCATTCCATACGTCCGGATCACCGCGGAACGGTCCATACCATTTGTATATTTGAGCCATATCACATCCATTTTAAAATTATGTGTATGTAATTACATATATGTATATATATCTAGATACACACATATATATATATATACATAATTTATAATACATATATATATATATATTCTACATAGGTGTATATAGATATATTACATATATCTATACATACATATATATATTATACATATATATACATATAAATATTTATGTATATATATATATAATACACATATGTATATATATATATTATACACACATATATATATATATTATACATATATAATATATTATATATATATTATACATATATAGATATATACATATACATAGAATGTGTGTGTATATGTATATATATATATATACACAGCCCGCCATGAGATGTGAACATATTTGGGGACTCTTTCTGCAATTTGAGGACTGGAGGCAGCGCTTGACATTGACATGCATCATCTGATGTTTTTTTCCACACTTTGTTCCACAACATGTCAAGACGCTAAGCCACCTTCCCTGACTGGATCCATCATCTTTGGGATCCCATTCCGCGCCAAAGCAGGCCTTTGAAGGTGGAAAACCCGTTGTTCGCTTCGACAATGGCAAGAGGATATGTGACTTGACGAAGTCCAATTGGTGTTTGGAACCATGTGGGGGTTTCCATAAATGGGGATACCCCAAAATGGATGGTTTATGATGGAAAATGCCATTAAAATGGACCATTCGGAGGCACCCCCCATTTTAAGAAACCTCAGGACTTCCAGAAAAGGATTATTTCACCTGAACATTATTTTTTGTGCAGGTCCATTGGTACTACTTTTTTCCAACCTAGACGCATGTTGCTGAGCAGAATCGACCAGCGCATGAATCAGTCACTCAAGACACTGTGTCACTGTTTTCTCTTTGTGTGTTTCGTTGCAAGTTATGTTTTGGCACAAGGGAAAAGACTCACAAGATGGCAACCTCTCGGTTGCTGGTCTTTTGCCGCTGGTTCTCTAAATGACTCCAACCAGCAACGGAGTGCCACCGTGCCCACGTGCGCTGCGGCAGGCATTGGTGTCCACAAGTTTACGCAAGGACAAGGATCAAAGAGCCTCGAGAGGCGCAGGGCCCAGCCTTGAGCACTTCGTTTGAACACTGCTAGGGAACTATGGACGCGCCCTTGCTACCTGTAAATTATAAATGACAAAATGATCAATGATCCCCAGTTGGGTTCTCTACGACTTTTCCATCCGATTTCTTTTCAAAAACCTTAAAATCATGAAAGATGTAAGAAGATGTTTGTCCAGTTGCAAGTGGAAGAAACCATATCGTGAAGGGACCATATCGTTGGTGTTTTCAGGTACCAGGTGCCCCTGAAACTGGGATGGGCGCTCACTGTGCACAAGGCCCCCTGCTGAGTGTCGAGTCCTTTGGGAGTTTTTCGGTGGGGATGGGTTAAAAGTTCTGGCCCACAATTGAGGTACTTGTTTCTGATATGGATGATTATAGAGAATTATAGATTATAGATCATTTATCCACTATGTTCAGTTTTCGGGGTTCGAAACATGTCTAAACCATCAACTTTATGGCAAGATTGGGGCCACCCAATTTTCAAACAACGCCGGCTGATTCTATTCCCCCAAGCTTGCTTCTTTTGAATCCTCCTGAACATTTGACTGGGTGATATGTTGGGCTACCCATCGAAAGGAAGAAATTCTATATCCTGTTCTTCTGCCAAACCTTTTGCTGCCCGTGAGCATTCATCGACTCACATTAGTACAAGCCTCATGTTCCCCATTCCCCAATTTTTCCCCAATTTTTCATATGTTCTGTTTTATCCCTCAATTTTCAGAGCCGAGGCTCAAGGTATGACCTTGACGCGCGCGGAGCTGCAGCTGGACAATGTCTTTGAGGCTCTTGGGGCTGGACCACAAGGAATCCACAAAGCTATGGATCAAAATTTATGCCCTGGACCACTGATAGTATCAAAATGTATCAAATCATTGGGATTCATTGGGGTACCCGTGACTACCGTGACTAGCCACAAGAGCTATGAGAATATGTGGGGCTTTTGCGGATCATGAATCACCAGGTGATCTATTTCAGTAGCTTCGAACACATCCTGGCCTTTCTTGGACTGGGATCATGCTTAGCTTTGAAGTCCAAGCCAAACAACCCAGAAATTTCAACAGACATGTCTTTGCCCAGCTGGCGGCTGCATGCACCCAAAAGTCTCAGGTGGGTCAGAGCTATGTGGCGCTTTCTCGCTTGACTGGCACCTGGGATTTGCAACGAAGAAATGTGGTGGTCAAAACAGCAGAACCCTTGGGTTTCGCGGTGTTCAGGTGCTCAGGCACACTGAATGAACCCGTGAGCATTTTGGAGAAAGTGCAGAGCGCGTTTTTATTGCGCCAAGTGATTGAAGCTGTTCAAACAGCATCCGAAACCGAAACTCCACAACCCCGGAGACGCCTTTTCTGGGCAGGGATGGCAGTGAGCGACTACTGATTTTTTGATTGCATCTCTATTTGCTTCAATATCATCAATTATAATAATTAACCTCATTGCCACGACACTGGAATGATGCTTAGCAAGGGAAACTATCCCAAAACGGTTTTGTTTCAGGTTGTTGAATTAATAGTTTATCCCAGATACCTCATGGTGGCAACCGAGGAACGGAGGGGCTATGGATCCGTGGCGCTCTGAATTTGGAATCTTCCTGCCGGGCTCATCCGGAGGTGCTGAGATACTACCAGGCAAAGTGAGGGAAGTTGACCCAGCCACAGATGTTGGTCTGATGAGACTAGCTGGTCATGCAGTGGTACTTTAAAAAACAATTATCTTCATTGATCCTCATTTATATTCCAATTTTCTATGCTCTCATATTCTCCAAATGGGGATGGGTCAAGTTGTTCCGTGCACCAGGGGGCCCCAAGGTTTCGACCAAAAAAACCCCGTTGACCGCGGTCGAGGACGCCAAGCAACGCAGCCTTGCAGCCTGCCAATCCACACCTGCCATGAAGCCGATTGAGCCTAAGCCTGTGAAGCCTGTGACGTCAGCGTCCAAGTGCTCTGGAAAGGCGGAACGATGCATGGTGGTCGCTTGGCAGCTCAACCATGGCCAACTGGATGGAATCTTTAGGACTTTCATATACTTTGGTTAATGTGAATGTTAACCAGCTAAACATGTAATTATCTGTTGCCAGGTATCTAAGATTGGCAGTGATTGGTAAACCTAACAATACCTAACAGTTAGTCATTGTGGATGGGTTATGGCACTGGGTTTCCACATTTCTTGTTTGGTGAGTCTGGAAATTCCTGAGTCTTCAAAATGGTCCAAGTCCCAAGTCCAAATCCGAAGATAAATGTGGGTCTTGAAAAAGAAAATCTGCACTGGAAGACATCCCTTCATGGTGTTTATCTCAGCCAAGATTAGAGCCTCAGGAGCCTGTTGAAGCTGCAGGGCGTGTTGTTGCATCGCCAGGTGCCGTCGCGAAGTTTTTTTTGCGGGGTGTTGACGTTTTTTGGTTTGCACCTGGTACGGGGTGTTGATGTTTTTTGGTTTGCACCTGGTACCTTTATCATTGTCATCCTTTATCCACTTCTAGGAATTTCAAGTTGTTACGGGCAAAATTAAGACTGAGATTCGCCAGGCATCCCCCAATCAGCAGAGCCAACCGTTACTATGTCATTGTTGCCGTTACACCCCAATCCGATTAGGAATCACCAAGAAGCAATTGGGCGAATGAATGCAGGTTGCATCCCCAGTCTACGTGTCCAGAGACACTTTATGAATCTCTATGATACATTGAAGTTCTTAAACCAATGCAATGAGGTAAGCTCGATGAAAACCATCCCCAAAATCACCATGGGTGCTATATTAAATCATCCCCATGGCCCCATGGTGTATGGCAGGCCCACATGGCAAGCGGCCACGGCCGGCTGCAACGTTGTTGGAACGATTGTCCAAGAGGCCGCCGGAGTTCGCATTCTGGGAAACTCCACAAGGGTCATGGCAGGGTTTATGGCAGATCCAAGAGGATCTAGGTGACAAACAAGGAAGATGTGCAGCATGCAAATATCGAGTTGTTACCATATTATGATGTTATACTTAATTACATGATCTTACATAATTAGTGATATATGTATATAATTTAATATGATTCAATATAGTTTAATGTATATATATATATATGTATATATATATGTATATATATATAATTATATATTATATATATATAATTATATATATATATATATTCAGATTCATGAATTTTACGTAGCATTAAGTAGCAAACTTAAGTGCCAACACTGGTAGCCACATAGCCAGGAGATGAAGCATTTGACATTTGACTGTTAACCCCAAGCCTTTGTCAGCAGAACGGTGGCCAGGCATTGCAAAGAAAATGCCAAAGAATCATCAAAGCTTCTGGAGGTTTGTGTATTCAGCTGTCCGTCTTCCGTGTTGATCGGTGTAGAGAACTTGCTTGTAAGCAAATTTATGCAAATTTATTATCAGTTAGCTGTGAGCGAACGCAACTGCGCCAGACTGCGTCTTTATTTGTGGAATTTGCTTGTGGGACATAGTGCATAGATGATGTGCATACTTAGGTTCTATGAGGAACTTTAAAGCATTCACTGGACAAATGAGTGTCATCGGAACATCAATGTGCGAACAATTGCAGGTTGTTTTTGAAGCCTTTGTTTCGAAATCGGCTGACGAATTCAAGGCAAAGAAAAGTGAATCGCAACACACTGACAAGTGGGTGACTCCATTGCAACTTGGCAGAGATGAAACCTCCCCATCGAGATCAAGTATCATGGGGATTTCACCACCCATTCCCCAACAATTTTGAACCATCCCATTATATATAAGATGTATATTATATGTATACGTATACGTATACGTATATGTATACGTATACGTATATGTATACTTATGTGTAGAAGTATGTGTATGTGTATGTGTATATGTATATGTATATGTATATCTATATGTATATGTATATGTATATGTATATGTATACGTATACATCATTATAGAATATCATAGTATGATTTTTTAAAAAACAAAAAATATACTGTATATATATATATGTTTTTTCAGATTCATGAATTTTACGTAGCATTAAGTAGCAAACTTAAGTGCCAACACTGGTAGCCACATAGCCAGGAGATGAAGCATTTGACATTTGACTGTTAACCCCAAGCCTTTGTCAGCAGAACGGTGGCCAGGCATTGCAAAGAAAATGCCAAAGAATCATCAAAGCTTCTGGAGGTTTGTGTATTCAGCTGTCCGTCTTCCGTGTTGATCGGTGTAGAGAACTTGCTTGTAAGCAAATTTATGCAAATTTATTATCAGTTAGCTGTGAGCGAACGCAACTGCGCCAGACTGCGTCTTTATTTGTGGAATGTGCTCGTGGGACATAGTGCATAGATGATGTGCATACTTAGGTTCTATGAGGAACTTTAAAGCATTCACTGGACAAATGAGTGTCATCGGAACATCAATGTGCGAACAATTGCAGGTTGTTTTTGAAGCCTTTGTTTCGAAATCGGCTGACGAATTCAAGGCAAAGAAAAGTGAATCGCAACACACTGACAAGTGGGTGACTCCATTGCAACTTGGCAGAGATGAAACCTCCCCATCGAGATCAAGTATCATGGGGATTTCACCACCCATTCCCCAACAATTTTGAACCATCCCATTATATATAAGATGTATATTATATGTATACGTATACGTATACGTATATGTATACGTATACGTATATGTATATTTATGTGTAGAAGTATGTGTATGTGTATGTGTATATGTGTATATGTGTATATGTGTATATGTGTATGTCTATGTATATGTATATGTATATGTATATGTATACATCATTATAGAATATCATAGTATGTTTTTTTTTTAAAAAAAAAAAAACAATATATACTGATATATACTGTGTATATATATATATTCAGATTCATCAATTTTACGTAGCATTAAGTAGCAAACTTAAGTGCCAACACTGGTAGCCACATAGCCAGGAGATGAAGCATTTGACATTTGACTGTTGACCCCAAGCCTTTGTCAGCAGAACGGTGGCCAGGCATTGCAAAGAAAATGCCAAAGAATCATCAAAGCTTCTGGAGGTTTGTGTATTCATCTGTCCGTCTTCCGTGTTGATCGGTGTAGAGAACTTGCTTGTAAGTAAATTTATGCAAATTTATTATCAGTTAGCTGTGAGCGAACGCAACTGCGCCAGACTGCGTCTTTATTTGTGGAATTTGCTTGTGGGACATAGTGCATAGATGATGTGCATACTTAGGTTCTATGAGGAACTTTAAAGCATTCACTGGGCAAATGAGTGTCATCGGAACATCAATGTGCGAACAATTGCAGGTTGTTTTTGAAGCCTTTGTTTCGAAATCGGCTGCCGAATTCAAGGCAAAGAAAAGTGAATCGCAACACACTGACAAGTGGGTGACTCCATTGCAACTTGGCAGAGATGAAACCTCCCCATCGAGATCAAGTATCATGGGGATTTCACCACCCATTCCCCAACAATTTTGAACCATCCCATTATATATAAGATGTATATTATATGTATACGTATACGTATACGTATACGTATATGTATACGTATACGTATATGTATATTTATGTGTAGAAGTATGTGTATGTGTATGTGTATATGTGTATATGTGTATATGTGTATATGTGTATATGTGTATATGTGTATATGTGTATGTCTATGTATATGTATATGTATATGTATACATCATTATAGAATATCATAGTATGATTTATGATGTTTAAAAAAAACAAAAACAATATATATATATATATTGTGGTTCTTTTTGAATCATCATCCCTTTGACTCTCGGAGCCACCTTCGGAGGGGTTGGCTTAATCTCCCAAGGAGGTTATGGTTTACCTTGTTGGTTGATGATAGGGGGTTGTACTATATATATACACCAATATATAGATATACTATATACATTATTATATTAGTCTATTATATTTATTATATATATACTATATAATATACACCATTAATTATATGTGTATATATACATCATAGGTTGATGATGTTGGTTGATGATTATATACCCAATATATTAGGGATTAGCAGAACCAACGGGGAAAACAATATATAACCAAGCATCAGTCGGCGGATTTTATAAAGCTTGTTGATCCATAGCCATAACCGGGAAGAATCAAAACTGGCAAACATAGCATGACTGATCCAAGGAAGCATTGGTGCGATCCGATTGAAATAGATTAATTCAACGAGATTGAATTGAAGAATGAAAAACAAACAAATTTAATTGCGAATTTTTGAGTTTGAATTTGACATTCAAGAAAATAGATTGAATATAATATATACTATATAATGTTCGTTGGTATTTCCACTACAAAAAGGAAGGACCTGTGCTGGCTGCAATCCCGTTTAGTAATAGATTTTGAGCCTGGGTGCTTGGGCTAAGTCGTGCGTACTTGTGTGAAGTCGAGCAGAAACGGTGTCCCCGATGTCCCCTTGTGATTCTGGTATTCAGAGGTATGAATGTTATTGAAATATGATCATGTTATAACCCCTTGTAGTTGCCTTGAGTCGCACGTTTTTTTTTTAGTATTTAGAAATCGTGTGCAACATGGGTTTTGATCCCCATTGAAATTTCCCTACAGAAAATGAACCTACTCAAGTGACCCCCATTTTCTAGCTGAAACTTCCTGCCCAGTTAATTTCCCTATATTTCCTGGGGAAAGTCGAAAAGGTCCTTCATAATTTTATATGTAATTGTACCTGACCATTTTCTAGAAAAAGAAGGGCTGAAAGAAAAAACAAATTAATCGAACTCTTGTCCGAATGCTTCCTGGGTCATTCCTGGGGAATGTTTAAAAAGCCCCATACCCAGGGCCAAATTCATCCTTCCATATCAAGTTATTTTCTAGACAGCTACTAGATTGATATCAAGAGACAAATTGATTGTGCCATGCATTTTCTAGACTTCTTTTGGGGTGCCCAAAAGCATCACAAAATAGATCAAAATTCATGTAGGTTTTGCTGAAATATGATACAAGCGCTAGCGTTAAGTCGTATCAGCTTGTAAAAGTCATATCGGGAGGCCGTGCGCCTGGAAAAAGTTCAAGTTTGGCATCACCACAACTTTTGGTAATTGAACGATTTCTTCGTTTTGGGGCCGTGCGCATGGAAAAAGTTCAATTTGTGTATTGCGTTGATTTTTAAAATTTACATTTGATTATTCTTTCAAGGGGGCAAACGCTGGTTGCTGCTTGCCTGCTGCTTGCTGCTGCTTGCCTGCTGCTTGCTGCTGCCTACCTGCTGCCTACCTGCTGCCTACCTGCTGCCTACCTGCTGCCTACCTGCTGCCTACCTGCTGCCTACCTGCTGCCTACCTGCTGCCTACCTGCTGCCTACCTGCTGCCTACCTGTTGCTGCTTACCTGATGCTTGCCTGCTGCTTGCTGCTTACCTGCTGCTGCTCACCTGCTGTTCACCTGCTGCTTGCCTGCTGCTTGCCTGCTGTTGCCTGCTGTTGCCTGCTGTTGCCTGCTGCTTGCTGCTGCTTGCTGCTGCTTGCTGCTGCCTTGCTGCTGCCTACCTGCTGTTGCCTACCTGCTGCTGCCTACCTGCTGCTGCCTACCTGCTGCTGCCTACCTGCTGCTGCTTACCTGCTGCTTGCTGCTGCTTGCTGCTTGCTGCTGCTGTTGCTGCTGCCGCTGCTGCTTCCTCATGCTGCTTCCTTATGCTGCTGCTGCCGCTGGTACAAACAGCATTTTGCCGAAAAAGAAAATAACAGTCTCGATCGCCTTGTTTGGCGCTGGCGGGAGGTACGGGCGGGAGACACCAGCAGAGAGAGGGAATGTTTCTGGCTGGTTGGAATGAAACATTGCGGTCGTATAGCGCGATTGTTTCGCTGCGCTCACCATCTGCATCAAATTTCTTGAGAGCTGTCCACGACATTGATGTACATCGCACCAGCCATAGATTTGGTTGCGGAAAACAAGGGGCCCCTATGCCCTTATATTATCCTAGATCATAATCCTGACAATAGGATTTGCTATAGCTAACCCATTTACATTGCAAGAAATTTGAGGTTATACCAAAAGGGGTTTGATTTGGTTACGCGACATAGGACATTAATCACGAAAGCTAGCGTTAGCTAGCTGGAGTCTTCTTGCTTTAGCAAGTATTGGGGGGCTGCTCAAGGATATCACGTGATTTTTC